AATTGGTGAAAGATATATAAAATCATAATTCGACAAGGACAAGTACACAAAATCCTAATTGTACAAGGACATGATTCATTAAAGTCGACCTCTTTGCACAAATGGTCGACCGTGTTGGGTAAATGTGAAACAGGTCGACCTCTTTACTGAAATGGTCGACCATTGTTTATAAATGTGAAACAGGTCGACCTCTTTACTGAAATGGTCGACCATTGTTTATAAATGTGAAACAGGTCGACCTCTTAACAAGAATGGTCGACCGTATTTTATTAAGGCCAAACTGACGAGATTCCATCCATGTTCTACATGGTTTTTGACTTTGCTACGGTATCATAGGTCGACCTTTTGCGTCACGAGGTCGACCTGTGCTCTGCCTTTGGGTATGCCCGCTTTGAGTATGTGGTCGACCACTTGTTCTAGACGATTGAAATCGTAAATTCAGTCACATCCATAATTGTATAACAAATCTAATAAACGATAAACATTCAAAATCCAAAATGAAACGATCTCGCAAATACAAATTCAATGTATGGTCCAAATAATGCAACATTGTAACTTAACGACTTCATTTCTTTGCTTTTTTGTTTGAACTATGTATCTCTTTGCCTCGTTCCATGCATTCATCTACTACATGCTTGAAAAGATTTTCTCGTGCAAGGTTTTCAAAATGTGTAGCCAGATACCATAGAATCTCCTTTCGCGCCGGTAATTTGTGTTCTTCTCCTATCTGCATTATGCCATGTAAGATTTCGTTACAACTAAAAAAGTGTAAATTAAACAAGTTATTTGTTTGACGATATACTCACCACTCTATCAAGATCCTTGGATCCATAGCGCATCCACTGCATGACGTGCACACCACACTCAGTACTATTTCTTTGCCGTTGAACTCGTAGCTCATCAAAATTGAAATCTCCAAAATTTGGTACTCCTACATTGCTCATGCGCTCCGGTTTGAAAATATCATCCAAATTGGACAACTACACACAAATAATGAATATTTTAAGTTTCTAGCATCATACGTGACGCTTAACAGTCCGAAAATTATAGAAAACACTTACCAATTTCTTGCATAGTGCTGATTTACGCCTACGATTCGCCTCACTAGTTGAAGGTAGACTGTCAAGCAAAAATGCAGTTTTTTGCTGGACATTGACGAGATACAGAAACCAATGACGTGCTTCATCGTCAAGAACTGGCATAAATATCTAGCAACGAAACACTCACTATATGTTATAAACAGCGAATACAAACAAATGCACTTTCGAAATTTAATGATATAGTGACATTGACTAGACTAACCTTCTGGCATGCACCGACATTCGGCATAAAGACCACACCATCATTCATCAACTTGTTACGAATTTGTCTGGTCTTCATGTTAGCGCGTACCATTTTCTGCAGCATGTTTTAGTTGAGATGAATTGACATGGTACAATATAAATAACTAGGTTATGACAAATAATTTGTCATTACGGCTCTTACCGAAAACATATTTGGCAAATACCACACATTTGGCTCTTTCACATCATGTTTTTCAGACATTGTTAGTGCCCTTGCACACAAATCCACTACCTACCATCCAACAATCAAACACAAAATCATCGTAAATCGTAACATAAATAGTGCACAATTCATACGAAAGTCGTAGTAGTATAGTACTTACTGATGAGCAAACCCAGCTATTCTCGCTAATGACCGAACTCAAATAATGTCGTTGCACGTTTTCAGAAAAAAAGTCCACAACGGTCAAACTGCAAAAATCAAAATAACAGAAATGTCAATTGTGATTTGCAACGTACAGGTCGACCTGTTCATAGTCACGGTCGACCTTATTGGAAAAGCGGTCGACCTCATAACCGATCCGGTCGACCACACGTACTAAAAAATGTCTTACTTGTCCCAATTCTTGTCCCCAGCCTTCTCTTTAGTAACAACATAATACAAGTCTTCAACTGGATTTTGAAGATTTTTGGTGAATCCTTCTAGACCCTCCACTTTCATGACCTACAAATCATAGTTAAAATTAAAGTAACATATGAACACAAACACACATTATAGATGAATATGTAACGTAAACTTACCCCGTGCTTTTCGAAAGGACTCTTAGATTCTTCTTCATCGCTATCATCACTAAATAATCCTTTTCTTACAAATTGATCCTTCTGTGGAGTGGTGTAGGAGTCACTTTCATATCGAGGTCTCTTGTACTTAGGAGAGGAACCCTTGCTGCCATTCGTTGTTTCACTCTGTCAAACATATAAACAAAACAAATTAGCACTAATGATAGTAATACTAATATCTTCAATCACATATGAATATACTTGGATACCTTTAAAATGTGCTCTTTCAATAAATCGTCTATGCTCTGGTAGCAATTTTCAGAGTCATCATGGTCTTCTTCCTCTTTACCAAAGTCAAAATTAGGTCCTTTACCATTTCTTCCGCCATTCTCCATTCGTTCTGCACTTATATCTTTGATAGCACCTTCTAGCCTCTCAAACCCGTCATGCATCATCCCAGTCATATCTGTCAGTCGAACTGACAATTGCTCCACTCTATCACACATGGACTTCTGAAAGTCATTGACTTGTGTTTGACACACCACCAGCTTCTCTTGTGTGGCTTTCAACAATTTCATGATTTCACCCAAATCTTGATGCAGTTTCTCATCATGCGTCATTGTCTAAACAATTTCAAGAAAAATTTAAATCATAATTCAACTTCAAATTTCTACAATTGACCAAAAAACAAATACGTGGTCGACCTGACATAGTATTAGGTCGACCTGGAAGACAAATAGTGACTACCACAACCATTAAGGTCGACCTCTGTTATTCCTAGGTCGACCTATCCAGCAGGAAAATAACAATTAACAACAAAAAGTAAGTTCTAAATTAAACCAAAAAAAGGATAGGTCGACCAGATATTTGGTGCGGTCGACCTTTTCAAGCACAACATAGTCATACAATCAAAGCCAAAGTCGACATTCAGGTTGAATAACCAAAAAAACAGGAACGGTCGACCTTGAAACCCATTAGGTCGACCAATTGGGTTACCTCGCAAGTACAGAAATCCAAGTGTTGTGGCCTAAATTTAAATACGCAGAATTGTCTCGTCAGGTCGACCTGATTGACGTCACGGTCGACCGAATGGAATTCTGCACCCAACAATATATCAAATTAGCCGGTAGAAATCACGCATTAGAAAAGAAGACGATGAATGGTACATTAGGTCGACCTCACCTTAGACCTGGTCGACCACTTCCAACGCGTACAACAGCAACCGCGAACGATCTTCTTCACAAAGGCTCTTAATCGGAAAAAAACCTAATTCAGACTTGGAGGCGTTGAAGGGGACTAATATTCGTATTTATAGAGATTTGGGACGTCAATGGGTCGACCCAATTCGTTTCCTTGTCCAATTGTGGAACCTTTCTGGTGTTGGAATCCATATCCAATACGGATACGGTGTGAAGGCGGTCGACCTCTTCCTAATGCGGTCGACCTGTTAGGTGCACAAGGGTCGGCCTATGAGATATTTGGGTTGACCTTTCATTCTGTTAGACCACCAAAGCGGTCGACCGTATTATGTAAGAGGTCGACCGCGTCTTGGAATCCCACAAACATGAATTAGTCGATTCGGTCGACCGCCTTCAGCAATAGGTCGACCGAAAAGTCCATGTCACGGTGACATGCATGTCACCGTAGCAAAATCCTATGCTTTATACTATAAATAGCCATTATTTTTAATGTAAATTATTGTCATTTGTAAAAGGAGAGAGAGAAGATGATCAAGAAGAAAAGGTTTCATAGAAAGAGTTGTCTAGAGAGAGATCATAGAAAGAAAAACAATATAGTTTGTAAGGTAAGTCATATTCAATTATACGATAAAAAGTCATAATTTGTAATGGAAAAAAGTATTGTTTGTTATGTAAATTATTATGATTTATATTATAAATTTTATCTACCCGTTATGTTAGTAATTTATAATATAAATTAGTCTGATTTTTAATGTAATTCCCATCTTTTTGTATTGTAAGCACAAAGTAGTTTGTTTGGAATGTTGTACTTATTTTCCCATTCTATTGCTTTCGTATGTTTGTAACTTGTAAGTGAAACATGGAAAATCAACTAAAAAGGATTGATTTGATAATATGATAAAGCTTAGTACCTGCTATACTATTGGTTTACAATATGTATACTTGTTTATTTTCATGTATTAATTTACCAAGTGATCAAATTATGACACCATTGTCACTTGTTAGAGATATGAGAATTTCATGCTCCTCAGTCCTCAATAGTCAATACGCTTTGGCCCATTCAGATACCCTTTCATCCAATATTTTGTTTTAGATTTCTTAGTTATTGACCCAAAGACGTTTTATGTAGCGTAGGTACTAAAATGTCATAAATGAAAAATTTTAGGTACCAAAAATTAATTTTCCAATGATATTTTTTGTATAAAAAATTAAATTTTAGGTACCAAAATGTAAAAAATAAAAACAATAGGTACTAAACTGTAATTTGCCAATGATCCACCAATCCATGAATCCACCAATCCAAATTGGATTTGGATCAAATGGATTGGATTTAAATGGATTGAATTAAGTGAATATTTTTAATGGATTGGATTAAAATTGCTAGAGTGGTACGTATTCGATGGTCCAATTTCCATGAAAATTAAGACATTGTTGGAGATGTCACCCACATACTCGATTAAGTTTGTGGGTTAGGAAGGAAATGGGCTCGCTCACTATGTGGCAAGAAAAGCCCTCTGGAAAAATGTTATGGAAAAGCTTCATTCAGAATTGACCTCTCAAGGGCACAGACTATAGATACAGCATACAAAAGTCAAGCATCTAGGAGGAGCAAAAGGGTAACCATAGTAGTGTGGAAGAGGAACAAATGAATTTTCTACCTCGCTGGATGTCTGGCTGCTAGGGCTATTCTACATTTTGCGTGGGCAATTTCCTGCTTAATAAATAAAGTATACACAGATCAAGAAGAGGCGGCTGGCTCAGCCTCAGAAGCCTCTGCTGCAGCAGCTCTTTTCTTTGCAAAGTATTCATCAGCTCTAGCAAGGTTCTTGAGAACTGCTGGCTTCAGCCACTTCTTTCTGCCAGGTAACACCGTGATCGAGCAGCCAACAGATTCCAGCTTCTCTCTGGCTGACGTCGAAAAGGCACGAGCTTTAAAGTTCAGCTTCACGTCTAGCTCCCCGTCACCTAGGATCTAAAACCCATAAATTCAGAAGTGAGTGACAAACCAACAGCCAGACCATCTTGGAAAAACTATTGATCTAATAGCATATCAATGGAGCTACCGGAAGAGATATGAAGTTTACTAGTTAAACCTATATACAAAAATTAAGTCTGAAAGAGCATAAAATGTTCTACTTGAAAGCTTTGAAAACACAATTACACCACAATAGAAGTGAAGGAGCAGAAGTGCAGTGCTCAGAGTCAGAGAGGGGTTCCACTGGTTCTTTACACCACAGGAAAAAACAACTTAGCCACCAAGCAGAAGCGAATTCTCATGACATATGAGGCCTTTCACACACTGTTATGCCTCTATTTCACAAATGGAGGTCATAAGCCATATCAGATATGCACAATGGCTAAGTCAATCTGCATACACGAAGATAGGAGTCTTTAATCCAACACCAATGAGCACTTAATGCCATGGCATTGATATGATCACATAACTACTGCATGATTGTGAGGCAATGAGGTAACCTGCAGCACCATCATAACAAAGTTGAAGCCAGACTCTTCCCACTTGAACAGTTCTCAGGTTTATGACTGATCAAATTACAAGTTCCTAAGATCACATTTAATGATTTCGATATGGTTACAGTATCACGTTAAATGATCCACTCTACGCTTTCGAAATCAACGCTAATGCATGAGTCCAGTTCAATGAATTTATGAGAGCAGCAGATACCCGACTTTTGGGGAGTGAGAACTCTTTGACCAGCAGGGACAGCAAACTCTTATGCAAGCTATAAACCGCCCATATGAACAAGCAGAGCCAATGCAACTAGTACCAGTCACAGTTATAAGCCGGAATATATCACTCATAAGGTCATACCTTGAGAGGAAGTCTCCTTTCTCTCCCCGATGGATTGATTAAGCCCTTCTCCTTCAAACTCTCCAGTGAAACCTCCTCACCCTCTCGAAATCCTGCTTCTGCTATGTCCTTTAAGTTTACCGGGACATATTTAGGTAAACCAGCATGCATACCTTCCACAATACAAAAGGACAAGCGGATCATATCAATTTCTGTAAGTCGACAAGTAGAAGCTTGAAATGAAGATAACCAAAACAAAACAATATTGACCAACTAGTCCTAGAAACAACACGAAACAGCTAGTAAGGGGCAAAATAGCAGCCAGTGATCAGCCAGAGATCCTCATCAAGCTTCTTACAAACTCATGATCAAAGTTCACAAGTTACAGCAACATTCAGTACTGCAAACTGAAGGACATATCACCTCATATGAGATTGAACAGTGAAAAAGTTCAGTGCCCTAGCCCCTAATCCTTCCACTGAATCCATCTCAAATTTCAATGATGCTATCCAACCAGGCAACTGAATTATCCGCCTAAAGGCCCTAAACATCCATAGCTAATAGCATCCATTATTCGACTACAAGTAAAGGAATCCAGAAAACTATTACCTCCAGCGATTCCCCGCAATTTAGGGATACGACGGTAGAGAGGCATCTGCCCACCCTCGAATCCTCTCATCACGCCAGGACCCGACCGGGATTTCTGTCCCCTCATCCCAAACCCACAGCTGTTACCTTGCCCGGCAGCGATACCTCTTCCCTTTCTCTTCGCTTTCTTTCTCGAACCTGGCTACGGCGCCAAATTGTCCAGCCTGAACCGCTCGCCTACCGCCGGAACCGCGGCCGCAGCAGAGGCCCTTTTGTTGACCACCATGAATGGCCTCGCCTGAGGTCTGTTCGTCGAATGGGTCCTGATGAGCGGATTGAAATTGCATGGTTTTGCTCCCAGACTCGTCACATTGCCCTAGAGAAGCAATAATCCGCCGAAATTTGAAGGAGAAAGAAGATGGGTAATTGCTGTACCTTGAAAGACAAAAGGAGAAGCTTTTTAAGGAGGAAGAAGATGGGTAATTGCTGTACCTTGAAAAGGGAAGAAGGACCGGATATGGTTAGCGATGTTCTGATTGGAGTGGTGGATACAAGAGCCGCCATTGACGAGAAGGAGATAAAGGACGAGCTCTGTCTCTGCGCGCTAAAGCTTCCCAGCTGAAAACTTAAGCTTCCAACGGATATGGATAGGTTGGGGAATAGGTTGTTCAAACGCAAGTGGTTATGGTGGTAATCATTTGAATCGGTAGTTTTTTTTATTATATAATTTGGTTAATTTAAATATTTGGTTTGGTTTGACTAATTTTTTTATTTTGTTTGGTTTTGATGGTTTGGTTTCACAATTTTAAGTTTTTGACCAATCAAATCAACTAAATAATTAGTCATATATCTAATATATTATATATTCATATTTTGCATATCACTCAAGAGTCAAATATTCCTCCCTTTTTTATCAGAAAAATAAAGCTCATTAATATTCTCTAACTATATATGTTTTTAGATAAATGGCATACATCATGTTGGATGAAAACCTTATAGGGAATGACATTTTCACCATATGATAAATTCTAAGTCAATTTACATAGACACACCTAATTCATTAACCCCATACTATTTACTTATATTTTTGTTAGGCGGCTACATTTAATAGCTCTAAGATAATTATATTATTTGCACGTATTTATATTAAAAGTTAACTATCTGTTGATTATTATATTTTATTAATTATATAAATTACGTATGGATGCATTGACAAGAGGATTTTTTATCATGACAATGCAATGTTATATTGGTTTACCCTTTTAACAAAACCTATTAAAATTTAGTTTGGTTAATTTGATTACTGTATTAGTATAGTCAATATGATCATGATATTGTATTTCATAATTAATAAAATTTAGATTTAATTAATTTTGTAATTACCACAGTATCCATTTAAACACCCCTAATTGAAACCCTGAGAACTATCATAGAAATATAACATTCCACGTGACATGACCATACTAACGTTTATGATTTACAACCCATAATAATTAATCTTTACTCACAATCTGAAATAATTGATACATCTTAGAATCTTGTTTAAATATGACCCGAATGAAACACAATTGGGTTGGTTCATGCTTGAATGAATAATGATTTTCAAAAATATATTTTATGTATGTTTACATTGGCTTTTGAAACAACAAAATACGTTGAAGATGGATTACAAGTCAATTATTTGGATGGACGAACACTAGTTTACCTCTTCATGAATTGAACGCTAATCAATCATGTGATTAAAATAGGGAAATGGGTCCAAATCATAAGGTTTTGTCAGTCACGTTGATATGAATCACCCTCCAACTTCCACAATCTGAATGCAATCAGCTTACTATGCAATGCAATGGTTGAATGATCCCCTGTCCTGACTCTGCTGCTGTATATAAAAGCAGAGCATGTCTGCCTAAGAGAAACCACAAACCCTCTCTTCTATTTCATCATATACCTCGCTAACTAGAAGCTCTGAAGCATTCCCCCAGATGGCAGTCCTCGTTACCAAGTTGTTCTTCCTCGCTTCCATCTTCATTCTGGGAGCTCTGGCTTCTCAAGCCATGGCACGCTCTGCCCCTCACGAGGCCGCCATGCGCCTTAGGCACGAGCAATGGATGGCTCGTTATGGGCGAGTTTACGGGAGTGCCAACGAGAAGGAGGCACGATACCAGATATTCAAGGACAATGCAGATATCGTCGACTCGTTCAATGCCGCTGGAGACAAGCCTTACAAGCTAGGTACCAACCAGTTTGCGGATCTCACGAACGAGGAGTTCAGAGCAACCAGGAACAGGTTCAAGGGCCACATGTGTTCGGCGCAGCAAGGACCCTTCAGGTACGAAAACGTGACCGCAGTGCCCACCACCATGGACTGGAGAAAGAAGGGAGCAGTCACTCCAATCAAAGATCAGGGTCAGTGCGGAAGCTGCTGGGCGTTTTCAGCTGTTGGGGCCATGGAAGGAATCACTCAGCTTAGTACCGGCAAATTGGTATCCCTTTCGGAGCAAGAATTGGTTGACTGTGACACCAAAGGAGACGACCAAGGTTGCAGTGGCGGGTTGATGGATGATGCTTTCAAATTCATCATCAAGAACAAGGGTTTGACCACTGAGAGCAACTATCCATACAGTGCTGCAGATGGATCCTGCAGTGCTAGCAAAGAAGGAAACCACGCGGCTACGATCAAAGGGTATGAAGATGTGCCAGCCAACAGCGAATCCGCATTGCTGAAAGCGGTAGCTAGTCAACCGATTTCCGTGGCAATTGACGCAGGGGATTCCTCGTTCCAGCTCTACGAGAGCGGGATATTCACAGGAGAATGTGGGACTGAATTGGACCATGGAGTGACCGCTGTCGGATATGGTGAGAGCGGCGGGATGAAGTACTGGCTGATCAAGAACTCTTGGGGAGCTCAATGGGGAGAGGAAGGATATATCCGAATGCAGAGAGATATTCCTGCAAAGGAAGGCATATGCGGCATTGCGATGCAAGCTTCTTACCCCACTGCGTAAAACCAAAGCTTATACTCAGCATGCATGCAACAATACTACTTAATGCACATACTTATGCTTATGCTTGTAAGATAGCTTTGTGTAGTACTTTTATGTAACTATGTATTATGTACTTGTTGTTTATTGTTATCTCCTATAAACAAAAGGGATTTGCTTCTATGCCCATACCTTCAATGTATCATGTAAATCTATCTTAGTTGCTTATTTTCATCATCTATATTTAGAGGTGACAATTGGATTGGATTGGATTGGATTGGTGTATCCATGGATCAAGTGGATTGGATCAAATGGATTGCTGGATTGGATCAAGTGGATTGGTAGATTGATCCATGAATCCAAATGACATCCAATTCTTGGACCATTATGTAAATTTTGAAAAGTTTAGGTACTAAAATGTCATAATAAAATTTTTTAAGTACCAAATTATTATTTTCCAATGATATATTTCGTATAAAAATGAATTTCAGATACCAAAATATAAAATATAAAATATATAGGTACTAAATCATAATTTGCTATTTGGATCTATGAATCAATCCATGAATCCACCAATCCAATTAAATTTGGATCAAATGGATTGGATTTAAATAAATTGAATTAGCAGGATATTTAAGTGGATGGATTAGATTGAATTGATGGATTGGATCACAAATTGCAATGTTGTTTATTTAGCAAAGTTAGTATTCGTTGCATAGTGTCCCTCTATATTTGTATTTTTTGATATTTTTAAAAGCTATCCTTTTTTGAAGTATGTTATGGTCCGGTTTTGAGGACTAATGTTTTCGTTTTTGATTTGAGTGTTTTGTTCCTTTTGCTTCTTTCAGTTTTCTTTCTTTTCTGTTTTTGTTTGCAGGATGGGGTTGATCTGGTTCAACTTTTTTTTGCATTTTGTTGAATCAGCTCTCCTAATCTTTTCTGTTTTCTTGAACTATATTCTTCTTCCTCTTTTCGATTAATGCATTTCACCCTTATAAAAAAAGTACTAATCAATACAAAAAAAGTACTAATCAATACAGATCATTACACGTTTTTTTTTTTTGGATTGAAATTGAATTTCAACTGTTATTTTGTATAAGGGATTATGATATTGGGATCGGTATATGCCGATCAATACCGAAATATAAGCTAATGTATATTTTATTGATCTCAACTAGACTCACTTACTCACTACTACCTCCACTTAATTATATATATAGCTCATTCCCGCACTATTTGACAACCCATACTAAACTCAATTTGTTACTTGTAGTATGTTTATGGCTTGCTTCATCGTTTCCTGTTTTGGTTTGTTGGTTTAGTTTGTTAATGTGCTTCTTGGGCAGCATCGTATTTTTCTAGTGTGTTGTCATTATACTTGAGATTTTTTCTCATTTGTTTTGCACGAGTGTTGGCACCACATCATTATTTGTTTTATATGTTTGGAGAATGGTTTGTGGAGCTAGTATTTGTGTTTATATATTTAATTTATAATTTTGAAGAAAACTAATTTTGTCGTTTGCTCTCAAGTTTTGATGGTTCCTTCTTAGTTTAGTTTGTAGTATATAGTTGACTTGAACCAACAACTCTCAATTTCTTTTTTATTAGTGGCATGTTGTTCCTAAAAGAAGAGCATTGAAGCCTTTATGTAGGATTGTGAGGTTTTAGATTCAGTTTGAAACTACATATGGGCCGTGTGGTAATTCCAGTGAGCTTTTATATTATATCTTTCTTGACAATTAACTAACCAATATAATATTATCATTATGAAATGAAAATGAAATCAATGATACATTTTTATATTTTATATTCTTAAAAGATGATGGTATTTCTTCTGAGTGTTCAACCTATATATTATTTCTTTATGTATCATCTAATTCGAAAGATTATAAAAAATACTTAAACTTAACATAAAGTTATAAATAATCAAATACGAACATTTCGGCCAACGGGCGGAGTTATAAGCTAGTTGGATATAGTACCCACTTTATCAAGTAGCCTACAAAAATCGCTTCCTTGACTATGAGAAAGGGATGATCATGTATTATCTCAGTCAGATATCTTATACTCACAAATCCATACCTAATAGGCTAATACAATAAGGGTAGTAGATTTGGATTTTTTACCCCAAAGTCAAGTTCATGGGTCACAATTTTTTTTTATTAGGATGATATGGTATTAATTAAAAAAGAAAGAAGCAGACAAAAAGTAGCCAAAAGTGAAGGTAGAAAGAAACAAACGGACCCTTGTCAAAAGAAACACACTGGAGAAAAAACTGCACAAGGGATCAAGAAAAATGAGCAAAAGAACAAATATCAACAACATAAGGACTGACAGCAACCCAAACAAAGCAAAAGAAGGAACTAACGCCAGGCAGGAACCAAAGAAACAAAAGACAGAAAGGGCTCAGTTCCTGGGAGGAAACAACCTCAGCTTCAGCACGTTCAACCAGTTGTCGGAGATCTCTCTATCAACTTTCTTTGCTGCAGTCAGGCATTGAGCAATAGCACTCCCTATTCTGAAAGCCACAACTCGAGAGGGAGCTTCCAACTCATTGAAGATTCTCGCATTTCTTTCGAGCCATACGTTCCAACAAAAAGCGTGGAGAAACACCCTTGAGGTCCATTGTGCAGGATCCGCCGGATTATTCTTATTCCACGAATTGATCCTGTCTGTAATATCAGTAGCTCTGCAAACCGAATCCACTACTTTAATGAAAGATTTCAGGATATTCCAAAGCTCCTCTGCGAACATACAGCTCACAAAGATGTGATTTATGCTTTCTTCTTCCTGTTTGCAGAGCGCGCATCTGTTCGGTAAGCTGGTTCCTCTCTTCTTCAGGTTGTCTAGAGTCAAAATCCTTTTGTGAAACACGTTCCACAGGAAATTACAGATCTTGCTTGGAATCAAACTCCGCCACACGAACTTATACGGAAGGTCAACAGTTCCTGCAAAGGTCTCCGCCGCCAACTCCTTGAAAGCCGACAACACAGTGAAGCCGCTTGAGGGCGATGGATGCAAAACTAATCTCACCGAACCTGCATCAAGGAAAGACTTTCCAACCAACACATAAGCCTCACACGCTCCCTCTCTGCCCCACCCCGAAGAAAAAATTTTAAAAGAATTTCCCACGAAACAGCCTCACCGTTGTTTCTAATGTAGTCTGCGACTCGGGAACTCGGAGACTCCGCAGCAGCCAGCACCCAGAGGTACTCGTCAGCCATACAGATTCCTTTGGACTAGACGTCAAACCAGAAGAAAATCTGCGTTCCATTTCAAACCAGAAGGAAAGTGTTTTTAAGCTTGCAAATCTGTGCCCAAGTACTGCAACTCATACCGCCAGGCACTTGACCAGGGAACCAATCCGAGATCGAGTTCGGATTGGTAGGATTTGAAAAATGTGATTAAATTCTTGAAGTTTAATGACTACTCCAACTCAACGAAAAAAATAAATTCAACTTTAAGAGTAGTAAGGCAATATCATCTTTAAACTCACAAATCTAATTCATAAATACTCATTAACAAATTCATCATTCTTTCAAATCCATAAACGACCCAATTCCATCATCAATCTTGCATTTCTTAAACCAAATCCAGGGGATATGCACTTCTCCCCATCCAAATGATCCAATAGGATTTACGCTGCATTTTTTGCCCTTTATTTCCTTAAAACTCATTGGATTTTATAAGTGACAAGTTTTGACGTGACTCTTAATTTCAAGTAACTCTAATATCTGTAATGGTCAACTTGATGTGACTTGGCCGATCTTGACCCACAAAATGTAACGAGGGAGAGAAATGGTAACGGGTCTGGTTAAGGTGATAGTGCATATCTATATAAAAATTGGGTCGAATATCAAAATCAAAATCATATTAATATTTGATTAGGTTCTAGATATCTATGGTTATCAATGAAAAATAATTTTTTTTACAACTTCAACTAATATGTCAACAATTACACATATATTAACATTACATAAGTAACAAATTACAACAATAAATCATTGAAGAAAATTAGTTAAAAGTAACATAATTTCATGAAAGTATTATATGTGTATGATAAATATAAAATATATTGAGAGAATAATGATAATTTTTAAACAAAATATATGTGTATATGTATATTCGGGCATGTTAGGTTGGATAGAGAGAAAACCATACACATACAACACCCATAATATTTGGGTTCGAGTTTTACTCATACTCTTAAAAAAAACTTTTGAGTTCGACTTTTACTCACCCAATTAGATCATATTTGAACTAATTTCTACTGATATGATTATCATTGTGATCCCTAAGCGATGTGTCTTTTGAATCATAACTCAACCGCTAACATCGCTCGACCAATGTTGACATGCAACTCATACTAACAGACTTCACTCATAATCAAACAGACTTGACCCATCTTAACTAAATACGACCCGAATGAAACTGGCTCGAGTTGATTCATGTTAGAAATTCTTCATATGTTATCTGATAATCCATTTTTGGCACCTCAACCCAAAACTTGTATGACCTAACTTGTTTATCAAATTGTAGTGCTTTTCCGACAAATTTTAACTCGCATTCCGGAACTTACCAAGCCCGATTCGACCCTTGGCTAGTAGTAATTGCCGAATACCTACTTTGACCCACCCCAAGCCAACCTCTTAACTCTTACGTAGTTATGCCATGAAATACTTAATCCTTTTCAATTTTAATACATCATATTTGTGTTTACATTGGCTTTTGAAATTACAAAATAGATAAAAAGACAGATTACTAGTTGATGAATTGAAAGGACGAACACTAAGTTTACTTACTTGGTTGATGAATTGAACACTAAATCAATGGTGATTAGTATGGTCCAAATCAAAACGTATTGCAACGTGCAAGTCACGTTGATATGAAGCATACAATGCGAATTCAGAATAATATATGCAATCATCACCCTTCAACTTCCACAATCTGAATACAATCAGCTCACTATATGTAAAGTTGATTGATCATCACCCTATAAAAGAAGAGCATGTCAGCCTAAGAGAAGTCACAAACCCTCTCTTTTAGTTCATCATACACCTCACTAATTAGGAGCCCACAAGCATTTCCCAAATGGCAATCCTGATGAATAGCAAGTTGTTCTTCCTCGCTTCCATCTTCATTCTGGGAGCTCTGGCTTCTCAAGCCATGGCACGCTCTGCCCCTCACGAGGCCGCCATGCGCCTTAGGCACGAGCAATGGATGGCTCGTTATGGGCGAGTTTACGGGAGTGCCAACGAGAAGGAGGCACGATTCCAGATATTCAAGGACAATGCAGATATCGTCGACTCGTTCAATGCCGCCAGAGACAAGCCTTACAAGCTAGGTACCAACCAGTTTGCTGATCTCACGAACGAGGAGTTCAGAGCAACTAGGAACAGGTTCAAGGGCCACATGTGTTCGGCGCAGCAAGGACCCTTCAGGTACGAAAACGTGACCGCAGTGCCCACCACCATGGACTGGAGGAAGAAGGGAGCCGTCACTCCAATCAAAGATCAGGGTCAGTGCGGAAGCTGCTGGGCGTTTTCAGCTGTTGGGGCCATGGAAGGAATCACTCAGCTTAGTACCGGCAAATTGGTATCCCTTTCGGAGCAAGAATTGGTTGACTGTGACACCAAAGGAGACGACCAAGGTTGCAATGGCGGGTTGATGGACGATGCTTTCAAATTCATCATCCAGAACAAGGGTTTGACCACTGAGAGCAACTATCCGTACAGTGCTGCCGATGGATCCTGCAGTGCTAGCAAAGAAGGCAACCACGCGGCTACGATCAAAGGGTATGAAGATGTCCCTGCCAACAGCGAATCCGCATTGCTGAAGGCGGTAGCTAGTCAACCGATTTCGGTGGCAATTGATGCAGGGGATTCCTCGTTTCAGCTCTACGAGAGCGGGATATTCACTGGAGAATGTGGGACTGAATTGGACCATGGAGTGACCGCTGTCGGATATGGTGAGAGCGGCGGGATGAAGTACTGGCTGATCAAGAACTCCTGGGGAGCTCAATGGGGAGAGGAAGGATACATCCGAATGCAGAGAGATATTCCTGCAAAGGAAGGCATATGCGGCATTGCGATGCAAGCTTCTTACCCCACTGCCTAAAATCGAAGCTTTTACTATACAATTAGCATGCATGCAATACTACTTAATGCATATATTTATGCTTGTAAGATAGCTTTGTGAAGTACTTTATGTAACTACGTAATTGTTGATGTTGTTCTTCACTGTTCTCCGGAGAGCCATTGGTATGGCTTCTATGTCTCTACGTTCAAGATACTTTATTCTGTAAATCAATAAATCCATATGTATAGTAGTCAAGAACTCAATATGTTCCTTTTGCTGGATTCTCTCTCTTTCTATTGCATTTCTGGTTTGAAAAAAGCCTCAATCCTTATCTTACTAGGCATAGGATTGATACTCCATCTTTTAAACCTAAGTTTTTGGACCAATGGGATCATATCCAATAATTTAAAAGTCAACATTTGACCTTTTGGAGTTACAACTTACAATAGGGGAAATGGGTACAACCCAAAAGGCGGAGGGGTGGGAGAAATCCAGCAACTAGTGGGTAGGGGGTGTTCAAACGAAGTGTGTAATATGTGTGGTAACTAATATAATTTGTGGTATTCATAAAATTTCATTGATTAATTTGAATAATTGATTTGATTTGATTAAATTTTTAGCTTGTTTGATTTGATTTTAGACACGGCTAACCAACAAATCAATTAACTATATATATTTAATATATTATATATCACATACTTATTACTTTGCAAAAATATTGAGATGGTAATGGAAACCTCATATGGAATTGGAATTGCATTGATGTGGATGATCTAATTGTTCTTATACTGTTTTTGTTCTTGTAGAGTTTATGCAACAACAATATGAGCTTCTAATTTAGAGAAAAACTCATACATTATGTTGGATGAAAATCCGATAAATGTTTTTTTCCAGCTTATGATAACTGTTAAGAGACTAAGACAATTCATACGGAAACGCTCAACGCATTTCCTTATAATTTTTTTTATCATGTAATGATAATGTAATGCTCTATTCAGATTATTATTTTTTTGTTTTATTAATTGATTAGTTTGGTCAAGATATTATTTTTTATTATTAATGAAACTTTTGATAATTAGAATGGTAACCATTTGAACACTCAATTTACAAAATCGCCCCAATTGCTGATGGATAAGATAAGGGGTAAATTGCAAGGTTGGTCACTGGATTTACTAAAAACGTTCATGTTTGGTCACTATAAATATTAAATTCCATTCATGGTCACTAAGATTAGTTCAATAGTTCAAGTTTGGTCACTCTCCGTTAGTCTCCGTTAACTTTTGTTGATGTGGCAGTCAACCTTCATAGTTGACCGTTAAATGAGTGGCGCGGCTATTAAAAATGATAATAAAATATAATTTAATCTTTTTAATTTTACACCGGTTTTTCATGACTATTAAAATAAATTAAAAACCTAATTTTTTCTAATTGGCCGCCCCTTTCTCTTCTCCCCCTTTCTTTTCACCAACGCCCCATCTGAAAATCCCCGGCAAGCTTATCCTAACAATGCAGAACAACCGCGGCGGACGATGAAAACATGGCCGATGAAATTCTATTCCAAAGATTCGTCGATATAGTCGCATCCCGCTGCATCATAAAGCTCGAAGAAGAAGAAGAAGAAGAAGAAGAAGAAGAAGAAGAGGAGCAGCGGCGTGCTGCGGTGGAAAAAAAAGATAGAGGAATGGGAAGATGAAGGCTCTTGCCTTGGAGCTGCATTTGGTACAAAACCTAGCTTGTTGCTCTATATGGAACTAGAACAAATGCCCGCTGCTACGCCGCGGGGACTTAAGTTGCAAAGTTGTGATGAATGGATGGGTAGTTAAGTTTATGGTCAAATTAGGTTGTTGTAGTTTTCTCTTTCGTAAGGAGGTGGAGAGTTATGTTTGTGGTCATACCATCTACTAATCAATACCCACACCTACACCACAAAAATTAAGTTGCAACAACATGATTAAGCTGCAAGTTCATCTAACTACTCAATCAATACAGGTCACTCCCATGATTTGAAACCTACTATAGCTATGATGAACTTGCAGCCAATAATTAGGCGTCGTGAACACAACACAACATTTTCTTTCGAAATTTAGGAAAACCAATAGAATGTTAAGATGACACTGAAGGGAAAAAGTCACATTTTTTTTATTGCTACAATATTGAGTCACCAAATTTTAAGTATGCGGGAACATACTTCATAGTCAGCAACGATCATTGACCTGCTCATTAAGCTGGAAGTACTTAGTTTAGCATAGCCTATTTTCCGCAATCATTCTAGATCATACATGCACGACAGGAGAAACGCTCCAAGTTATCCAACTATAAGAGTCTCCAAATAATTACAGAAACAGGAAATGAAGAAAGAAGATAATGATGAATAAGATAGCAAGCCCTAAGTGGGCACCCTAGGCATACTAGGGCTGAAGCTGCAACGTCCACCTCACCAGCCAGCCACCATGCAGCTCATTCTTGAACAGGACAAAAGGAAAAAGTTATAAAGACACTTGTTGGAGTGGTAATCATAATGGCATGTTAACTGTTATTGGTGCTTCAGCAGTTCGGAGATTAGAAAATGTAATGAATGGTATAATATTTATCAACCTTCGCCATGAGTTTCCTAACCAAGATTAGTGGATGTCCCAGAGAACTTCTTTGTGGCCTGTTTCACACTTTGTGAAATCTCTTTTCCCCAGACATATCTTCCAAACACAAAGTTAAAACTCAAATAAAATATCTAAAGCGACAGAGTCCATATAACTAACTGTTAACATTAATTCAGCATAAGGAATTGAAAAAAAAAAAGGAATCAACTCACAATGATAGTCAAGGGTGACGACTTGAAGAGCATCCAGAACATTCTTGGTATCACCTTCCACTTGAAGGAGTTAAAATTTTCATAGGCTCGTACACCTTAATACTTGCTTTTTCTTGTCATGGGTCCTCCACAATGATAGACCTATAAGTTGATAAGAGGTAATGAAAATGGAGAGTAATGAGAACCTCAACATCCCATTAGAAGATTAGACAACTAAGATTACACTAATCAAATCAGAGTGGATACAGAAGGAAGCAACCTCAGAAGGAAAAATAACCTCTAAGAAAATTGGTTATTTCCCATAAGAGCAGTTAAGAATAAAATTGACGAGCTGGTGTGGTAGACTGGATTTTTAATAAAGTGCTCCATTCTCTTGAAAGGGGACGACTGCTGTTCCAAAAGCTCACTATTATTGTTTAGCTGCAACCTATGTCAGCAAATATATAACTAAATATTCATACCAGTGCTGACAATCTACATGTTGGAAAATGCTTCATGCCTATCTTTTTCTCTTCCAATGCCTGCCAAAACTTGTTCTTGCTAGCAGCAAACATACATACATGAGAAGAACAATGTGTATTGAAGGGGAGGGGGGGGGGGGGGGGGGGGGGGGATTATAACCTAGGGAAGAGAGCTTAAGAGGCCGATTGTAAGTCGACCAAGTCATATTCTCTGCTGGCTGCAGTAACTTGCAAGGATCTGGAAGAAGATTAAGTCATATGGTTGGTTTTGCTTCGGATATCCCCTAGGTAAAAAACATCAAAACCTCCCCCAAATCGCATGAATCAAGTTCCCGATTACTTATTTAGAACTGCGTAGATAGAGGATTGAGTACTGAGATTGACTTTTAGCAAAGGGAACCAGTAAATTGGGTGTCGAACTAAGCTTTTTCTCGAGCGAATTGACCTCCGAAAACAGCGACTCGAAACTCCAGTTGGGCTCGGGTTCGACCGCAATCCTGTGAACTCTTTGCCGACAACGATGCTCCAACTTCATAGGTCCCCTGAAATGAAACAGATTGTTGAAGTCACAAACTCGTACCCCTTCCAAACTTTGCAGTTGATAAACCGTTAATTGCACATGTTTTTACCCCTATTCCTAAGCCATTTGAGATGTTGATTCTCGTGTTTTAGGCCGATTTCACGCTAGGTTGTGCTTGTTTGTGATATTTCAGGTCCTAGTACGTGAATGAAGGTTTGGGAGCGAGTTCGGGGTCGATTGGACGAAGATCGGACGTGTGGCGAGTCGCTGAGGAAGCCAGACGGGCACACATAAAACCCACACGGCCGTGTGAGGAACCAGTGTGGCCGTGTGGGATTATGCGAGGCTTCACACGGGCATCTGGGTAAGCAACACGGTCGTGTGGCCTGCCCGTGTGAGTCGGGAATTCTGGTTTTTACCCAATTTTAAGCCACAAGTGAGAGGATCAACTTTTCAGAGCAAAAACAGAGTTTTAGAGAGAGAAAGGGCGAAGAACAAACCCTAGGAGCTATTTGGAGTGGATTTCTCACCATTGAAGCCCAGATTGCGTCCCCAGGAGTGAAGATTGACATCCCAGAGCAGATTTTCCTCATCTTTATGAGTATGACTACTCTGATTTCTGTTTTCCTCTCTCTCTATGGAGTAGAACCCTTCTCTCACTTGGGTATGAAGAACCCTAGTTCCATGTGTTAGGAATTTTATTGTAATGACTTGGGATGATTATACTGTTTGGTTTTAATCGAACGATGCATGATTCATTGAATTGATTGAAGTCTGATTAGCTTTTCTTGATTTCTGCTGCAAAACTGAGATAGATAGAATCTGATTAGGTTGTTAGAGCTTCATCATTCGTTAGTAGTGGATTGGTTATACGAGAGTTAGCCAGTTTACTGCTTTGTACTGGAATCCAATTCCAGTAGTGGAGTTCTGTGCTTATTGCTTCAGCTTTCTATCCCGGTGAAGACTAGTCGTCTGCCGAGTAGTTAGACTGAGAGGGCTTGGTCAGCTTAAGAGATTCCAAACTACTGTCGGATCTTCCGCAGTCTAATCAACAGTAAATCTACCCAGGGTAATTACAATTGAGACCTAACTAAGGAGCTAGGGGACTCATTCCTGAGTGACTCTTCCTTTGCTTGAGAAAACCAGACCAATTCCTGCTTTATTTATGCTTTTAGTTAAAACAACAATCAATCGACTTAGTTTGCTAGATAATAGATAATCACGGAGTAGGCAGTAGATCTAGACCCCGGGTTGATATTTAGAACTTGCCACTTTACTGCATTCCCGGACTGCGATTACACTTGGTCGCAGTTTGGTGTTGTGTTTTAGCGTGTCAGCAGTGAAACTGAAACTGCCTACCTCTTGGTGGATTTTCTTTTGCTTTCTAGTGTTTCGACCCTCCTCGGTTGTCGTCGAGCTTCTTCCCTCTTCCAATATGAAGATCGACACTTGCCTGCACTAGCGCACCCTAGGAAACAACGGGGAAATATCTGAATCATAAACGCGAGCCAATTTCGCTGGGCGAGCAACAGCAGAGAGAACTCACCAATTCAGCTGTCCAAAGTGTTGAGAACTCGGTGAATCTATCATTAAGGCATGGATTCCCAGCCGAGGAGCCACGATTTCAGTGCTGGAGCGTTGCTTCTGGAGGATGATATGGTTAAACAGGGTTGGGTATTGGGAAAGTAGTTGACGGGTGATATGGTTTCCTCCATAGATGTTAACGTGTTGAAGTGAGTCGCGTGGTGAACTGGGTTGCAGATAAGAGAAAGGACAGAACTGACTGTACAATTGATTGGCGGTAGCTTGTTGGGCAGAAACGGAGATGTATACTGAGCGGAAAAGCAAGATCCCCGGGAAAGAGCCTAAGGCAGTTCGGTAAGGTCGAATGACGAAAGGAATAAAGGGGGACCCAAACTTGGAGATTTTGCGGCAAGTCCGCATATGGTAGATGTACGAAATGGATGGGCGATGCATCGGCCGAGATCAGACTGCAGGAGAATGGTGATTTGACCGATGCAGCGGCGGGAGCTCGGCAGCAAGCTGCAAGAAGCGCCCGAAACCCATTTACACTAAACGACAAACAATGAAACAGTAGTTGCAAGTTTTGGGCCAATAAAGCGTAGTCCACTATTATATATAAGATAATTGGCCAAATATATCAGTCTCGCCGCCGGCCCATTATAAATCAATTTCCATACTTAATAGACCCCATTTTTTAGAATATATGTATATAGATTGTTGTCGGCCGATTTCACGCGCGCGGCTTCGCCGTCATTACTGATCCTTCCTCATCAATTTGACATCGTCATCGATTCCTCCTTGCCAACAAAGTGGTTACGAACTCACGATGAAAGACGATGATCGACTGCTCATCTGTCTAGATCTCGAATCTAAACTTTCCACCACGACGAAACAAGCAAGCCAGCGCCAGGAAATTTGGCCCAGATGCAACACACCGACGCCGTTGCTGCCACTGCCGGCATCGTGTTGTCTCTTCGGGTCCGACTTCCTCCCGATCCCCACAAGATGCGTCGAGGCAACCCTTCGTTGCCCTTGGTGTTTTTAAACTCGCCGTCCATTTATGGGTAGACCACTGAGAGCTCCCTTTCTCCTCTCATGGCTCTAGTAAATCTCCCCACCGCGTACTGTCACGACCCGAAATGTCGTGACCATGTTGATCGTCTGAAGAACGCTGCCATCTGGTTGTCTTGCCATGAGAAGGGTAAAGGGGGCGACATTAGCGATAAGGCGTTGTCTGCCTGCATCGCATCTGGCCGAGTCAGGATATGGCTATGAAAGGGATCGTTGCAAGAGAAGTCACAACTGTTCGGAGGCTATTGCCGTCTCCCTGATGAGCCCAAGACAGGGCGAAACCAGTTGGCATGCATATGCAGAGAGGCTGGTCTTGAGGAATGAGTGCACCTCAAGACGCCGCACGGACTTCAGAAGTCTATGTCCGTGACAAGTGGTATCAGAGCCTGGTTAGGCTGAAGAGCCTAGTTCCTCTCTCAGTACGGCATAGGTCGTGTATGGGCCGACCCTATGCCCGAATAAGAGGCGGTCCTAGGTGAGCATATCAGGCGGTCCGGACGCAGATTCACATGTGTTGTGCCGTTGTGGGGGACCTCGACAGGCTGAAGATGCAGCGGCCGAGAATGCCGTTCAACCGAGGAACTAACGCTAGCGAGAGCGTAGGGTGAAGGTCGATTGAGGTACAAACGCTGGGAGTAGCGTAGGGTGAAGGTCGACTGAGGTACTAGCGCAGCAGAAGCAAAGAGTGAAGGTTGATGTCGAGGGGCGAAGCGGTATGTGCGTGGGGCACAACAGGCTAGCGCGAGAACGCGACCGGAGCCTGTCCGTCAGAGGATGGTATCGTATGCGGATGCCCACAATCGGTTCGAGAGAGTTGCAATACATGCTGCGGAGAGAAGCATTCTTCACCAGCACGAGGACGTGCTGCATTATGAGTGGTGGAGAATGTCACGACCCGAAATGTCGTGACCGTGTTGATCGTCTGAAGAACGCTGCCATCTGGTTGTCTTGCCATGAGAAGGGTAAAGGCGACGACATTAGCGATAAGGCGTTGTCTGCCTGTGCATCGCATCTGGCCGAGTCAGGATATGGCTATGAAAGGGATCGTTGCAAGAGAAGACACAAATGGTCGGAGGCTAATGCCGTCTCCCTGATGAGCCCAAGGCAGGGCGAAACCAGTTTGCATGCGTATGCAGAGAGGCTGGTCTTGAGGAATGAGTGCACCTCAAGACGCCGCACGGACTTCAGAAGTCTATGTCCGTGACAAGAATGTCACGACCCGAAATGTCGTGACCGTGTTGATCGTCTGAAGAAAGCTGCCATCTGGTTGTCTTGCCATGAGAAGGGTAAAGGGGGCGACATTAGCGATAGGGTCGGCCCATACTTGACCTATCATACCACTCCTAGGACGTGGCAAGGGGGGTGGGCATCATACTGCCACCCCATGACATGGTGAGGGGGGTGATGGCCGAATTTGGCTAAGGCAAGGACTATGGTAGCCACCCCCAGGAGGTACCAAGGGGGTGGGTACCATATTGCCACCCCCATGACGTGGTAAGGGGGTGACTCAGGACGTAGTGAGGGGGTCATATTACCAACCCCCATGGGGTGTGAAATACGATTAAGTATGGAGAAGGATAGGACACGAGGGTGATCACCAAGGATGGCAAGGAGAACCCCCCATGAGATGATCAGGGGGTGGCCATCAACACACCCCGCCATAAGCATGCAATCCCCATGATATGATCAGGGCGGTGATTAATATCCACCCATGTGGTATGGTCAGGGGGTCACCAGCATACGCCCCATGGTATGGCCAAAGGGCGTGGTCTCCCTACTCCTGTAATGGTGAAGTATTTTTGCCATTTTTGACTCAAATGATTTGAGTACCCACCCATATGTGGCACGTGGTCTGCTTTCATGCCTTAGCCATTTTTTCTATATAGACAAGCAAAGCTACGGAGGGGATACCAAGAGCATGGAGTGAGGTCTCAAGAGGAGAGGCCAAGATTGGTCTACATCCAACGTCAAGGTAACCGTCGAAGCAGTTGAGAGGGTAACTGTCACTCCACGTCAACAGAGCAGTTTCTTGTGGCAGTTAATTCTTATGGCTATAAATAGGAGTTGAAGATGACAGAGAAGGGGTTCGCCAAAATCACACCAGACAACACAATGTCAAATTTTATCCTTTTATCTTTACCTTTTCCTCTGCAAATGTAGTCATAGCCATAGTTGTAGTTTTGGAGCTCTCACTGAACCTCCATAGGAGTAGAGTTAATGTAATTTAGTTTGCCTCGTAGATCATCAAGAACATCGAACACCCTTGTTTGAACTTTGTTCAAAGAGGTGTGGACCGTGTTTGTTAATCGTTTGTTTGGAAGTCAAAGGTGCAAATCCAATTCTGTTCATCTTTATTTTTCTAGCCGGAAAAACAAATTGGCACACCCGGTGGGACACGTGTGTTTGATTTGATGGCTCCGAGGCGGAGGAATCAAGAAGGTGAAGTTCCGACTTGTTTTGTGGAGGAGCAAGTGGCCAACATTGAACATGGCCAAGTGTTAGAGGCGGTGGCCGGAAACAATGGCGGGGCAGAGATCCTACCTACGGCGACACCTAGTAGGGATGTTCGTGAAGCAGTGGGGATCCTCTATCAAATGATGGAGGTGAACCGCAAGCTGGTGGCAGAGAAACGTCAAGTCACAGAGGAGAACCGCCAAATGATGGTGGAGAACCTTCGCATGATGGAGGAGACTAGATCTGTCTTTCATCAAGCAAACTCTCAAATGGATTGTCTCAATTCTCATGTAGACAGACGTTTAAGTCAATTGTTTGAAGTGGTTAATAAAAATAAAAATGATTTTTATGAGTTTAGAAGGTTTTTAACCACACCAATAGTTCAATCTAGAGCTCTGCCATTAGATGGCATGAATCAACCCCCGAATAATACTTCTGCAAATTTTAGTTTATCTCTCGTCGGCGACATGAATGGTCAGCCACGACAAGATAACTTCTCCCCACCGATGACAAACCAACCAAATCCTCAATGCATGAATCACGGCGAGATTCCCGCCACTGTTCAAGTGGAAGGGATGCCTAATGTGGGAGTTGGAGAAATTCCCCCACGTGGTGAGAATTTGGGAGTTACACATTCTGCTCCAGTGGAACCGCCGCCCATGCCCATACCAGTGGCAAGGCCCTATACGGTACCTGCTCACATGGCAGGGGGAGTAGGCTTAGGTGGGGGAGATCAAGTTCCTCTGAGAGCATACCCAACACCCATGCCACCCCATTTCAATGGGCATGGCATGGACCCCATGGGTTTCGTACCTCAAGGGGGGAAACCAGGGGGCATGATCCCAACACTCTAAGGGATCAGGTGCCTCAACTTCTTGCCGAGCAATTTGGCATGAGAGTGAGACCCATCATGCCACCTGTTTACCAAAAACCATACCCTGAGTGGGTGGATAGACTCTACCCATTCCCAAGGGGGGTTTAGGGTGCCCGAGTTTGCCACATTCATTGGGACAGGGGACCAATCTACTGCGGAGCACATTGGACGTTTTACTGTCCAGTGTGGGGATGTAGGAGATTTTATTAAGTTAAGAGTATTTGGAAACTCATTGACAAGACCTGCTTTTGCTTGGTATCTCAATTTTCCATCCAACTCCATCCAAACATGGCACCAGATGGAGCATGTCTTCCATGCCCAGTTCTACAGATCTGAGCGTGAGGTTTCCATGGGTGATTTGGCACGAATGCGCCAAGAGTCAGGGGAGTCAGTGGAGCACTTCTTGACAAACTTCAAGAATGCTCGTAACCGTTGTTTTGTCAACTTGACAAAGAGAGAGTTTGTCAAGTTAGCACAAGGGGGGTTGAGTTTTGAGTTAAGGAAGAAATTCCAAGATAGAGAATTCTCTGACTTGTCCAACTCATGTCTTGTGCGGTGAGATATGAATCTCTTTTTCAAGAAGAGGAGAATAGGAGGAGTGCATCAAGGGGGCAATACTTCCCCAACATCGGCTACCCTGTTAACCATATTGGCCAAGAGGCCAATGAGGTTGAGGTAGACTTGGCTGAGTTAACTCCGGGGATGCCATATGTATGTGCTTCTTTGGCTAAGATGGACAATAAGCCACAAGGGGGTAGACCAAATCGTGCCCCCATCCAGCCACGGAAGTATTCCTTCGATATATAAAAAACGGACTTGATTTTTGACCAACTCTACAAAGAAGGTCAAATCAAGTTGACAGGAGGGCATAACATCCCACCCCCTGAGAAGTTAAGAGGGAAAACATATTGTAAGTGGCATAACAACATGCTACACTCCACAAAATCATGTGTGGTTTTTTGCAATATATTGCAGGATGCCATTGAGAAGGGTCGCATCAAGCTCCCCGAGCCAAAGAAAGATGCCATGCTGGTGGATACCAACCCATTTCCGA